CCCCAAAACCCCAAAACCCCGTTATTTCATTTTGAGATTTAATCAGGAAAATATAAAATAAGTATAATCAAATTAGTCAGATATTTTACTTTCCCATCTTTTTCCTCAATTTTAATCTTTGATCCTAATAATTCATGTATTCTTTAATGATGCTATTCTTCATGATTTCAGGCATTTTATATGTTTAATCTTTATTCTACTATTATTTCATTTTCCCCGCTTGTTAATCCTTAACCTGCTCATCTATTTAGTAGTAACTGTCAAAATCTATATCATCTGTATTCCATCTTAATTTTGAGGAATTTAGTGAATAGCTGTTCTAGACATCAAAAAGTTCTTTAGTATCAAATTCAAGATATTCTAAGCTTATCTATTTCATTCTCTGTATTGTTGATAAATCATTGTCAGCAGTTTTATCAATTTTCTATTAATCAGATTGTAGTTTATTCTAGGAATAATTTTATGACTCCTAATCTATATTCAGCTTTTATTTTCTCTTTTGGCTCCAATTTCTTAATTTGTAAATTATCTTCTTAAGCTTTGGTAGGATAGAGGAAATACTTTGAATAAGCATTACTGCTATATTTCCAATCATATTAAGTAAAACTAAGCAAATAACACACCAGCCAAATGTATATTAGAGCTCATAATCCTCAACGAAATTAGAAAACAAATACAAAGAGTAAGATAATCCAAGAATAATTATTTCATTAAGAATCTCCATTATATTCATTAAATTTTTTTCAAACGGTTTCACACTAATAAGGTATATCAAAAGCAATAGGTTTGTCAACTAAAAGGTCTATATTTGAAAATAGGAATAATTTTATCCAAATACAGCACTTATGGAAAAAGTCAACCTCCTAACAAGATAGATAACATGATATAGAACAGTTTGATCTCTGTCTTACTTGGAAATTCTAATATTACAATACATTACTCCGATTCTGTCTTTGATGTTTTTGCATTAAAGCTTGTTCTTAAACATTTAAAGAATTAATACAAAGCTAAATGGCATGAGAAGTACTGAAGAAAATATCAGTATAGCAAACATTGATTAGAATTGATCACTTCTAGTTTCATATTGAAGCTTTATATTTAAACTCTCAGTAATCTTACATTTTATATATTTATGGAGCTATTTATAGCTAACTCAATATATCCCTCTAGAAATATTCTAATAATCATATTAAAGTATAGTTTTTATTCAATTGTCTTATATAGTTTCTACGAACTAAATGTATTTAATCTTATAATGTACATGATAGATTTTCTTCCAATTAATTTTAAGATTAAGCATAGTATTATAAGTAATCCAACCCCAACTAAATAAATAAACAAGCTTCCCAAATTAAAGACTGAATTAGTAGTCTCATAACTTAAATTAATAGGAACAAAATAATATATAAATCCAAGAGCATAAATCAAAAGATATCTAAAGTGGCAAAATTATTATCTGTTTATGAATCACTGAATTAAAATATTTCACCCTCAATTTCACTTGAAGGTAATACATCAAAATTAGAAACTCCAATTAGCATTGAAAAAAAATAAATCGTATTTGGCGGAAATTTCAAGTTAAACAATGGGAGATGTACAATTACTTAAAAAGTATTGATCATCCCCCACAAGAATTGTAATGAAACTGCCCTAAAAATATCATAATACATTACGATCATTACTTACAAAACTAAGTTTACAGCAAATGTTCCAAATATTACAGATGTTACTGCAGATTAAAATTATTCATCTGAAAGCTAGAGAGCTTATGTTAAAGCTAAAAACTTCATTAAAGGAGTTTTTAATATTACTGTCTTATTACAACTGTCTAGGGAGCAAACGATTTGTTTTGTATAGGTATGTAATATAGTTATCGTCTTGTTAGCTCTTAAAAAGGCCATTTCCGACAAATTATACACTTAGTTCATGGTCAGTCTAAATTTTTATTACAATACATTTCGATTACTTTAGAAGAAATCTGTTTTGGGTCATCAAAATTTATCTATATTTGAAAGTAGCTTTATTGGAACTAGACTATTTTCCAATTAAATTTGATGTCCTCGTTTTTGTCTTCATTGATGTCAGAAATTTTAAGGTTGAGGACTCTTTTATCAAATTACTCAAACTTTGAGGGCACTTTAATCTTTTAATTGAACTGAATTTTAACAAGTCCATTAATAGATATCTTCTAAATTGAGGCTGACAATACTTTGCCCTTTTTCTTTAGTTTTAAATCTAAATCTGATCTTACTGAGTAACTCATTGATTCATTATTGGAAAATTGATATTCTAGGCTTGTATTAGTTGAAGATATTGTAGTAGGTTCAGAATTTTAATTTGCTGATGAAGGTTTGACTGGATTATCATAAACTTAAATTAACAAAGAATAGGTTTTTGTTAGAGGATTTGGATTATCGTCTTTTATTTTAATTTTAATTTTGAATGTACCAATGAATGGAGAGAATGGCTTTATCAAAAAATTTGGAAAACTGTCATCAATAAAATTTTAAGCAACTCCTAAATCAATACTTTCAATTTGAAAATTATCTCCGTCTATGTCTATAATATCTGGGAATACATATTATAATTGGTCATCAACCTTGATTAGTATATTCGTTAAAGGTTGCTAGAAGGTTGGTGGGCTATTATTAATTTAAATTAGTTTTAGAGGGATATAAAGATTCTCAGACCTTGTATCATTTATGTTACTAATTGTCCCTGTTACCTTTAATACATAATCAGGGTTTAATGCGTATGTTTTGTCATCTGATGTAATAATTTACCTCTGACTAATGTTTTAACTTGATAGAAAATTAGGATTGCTATTTTATCCTGTAATTGAAAGAGTGTAAATTATTGGATAGACACAATTTTAATACTTGACGAATTCATCGAAACTTATAATCATTTTACCACTCCCAATTCTGTACTTGACTAAATCTTTTTTATACATATTGACACCTTGATCAATGAAAGGAACCATTGCTTTAACATAGCATAGATATTGAAAGCTTAATTGAAAAATTTTTTAAGCGGTTTTTGTGCCTATTTAAGCTTCTACTTTTATCGAAATTGAAGTATTATTTAAATTAGTGTCACTTATATCAATTGTAAATTGTCTTTTTGCACTATCAAATTTTACCATATTCACCATATAAGGGAAATTCAAACCATAATCATAAGTTGCACTGTATATCATCTAACCACATCTTTAGTTACTAAGATCAGAGAATTCATTAAAGGTAAGAATTGCTTCCCCTTGTGTGATATTATATATTATATTAGGAGCAATACCAAAATCTTAAATTGAAACAATGTTTTAAGTACAAGACACAATAATTGATAAGAGTAAACTTATCTGAGCAGAATTGCCATTTTCCAATTTTCCTTTAATCTTAAATTCATATTACCCAATATCTGTTAAAGAATTAGTTTATACTTTAAACTAATAAGAGGAAGGGAAAAATGTTGCAAAACTAGTCAATACTGTACTTCCATTTAGGGTAGCTTCATAAGTAATATCGTTGCAAAAAGTTATAGAAGTAGTCCAGGGAGTCAATTAAATAGTTTTTACCAGATCACCAATTTAATAAATCTGCTCACTCATTGGCATTGGCATTATTTATGATTAAGGACATAAATCTGTGATTTATACAATAATTGTTTCAAAGCTCGAAACAGTTGAATGAGCATAAGCAGTTACAACTATTGTATAAATTTTAGGAATGGTAGCTCTTGAAACTGAAATTTAGATTTAATTCATATTAGTTACAGCAAAGACACTGCTGTCAGGGGAAATTTGAGTAACTTAATCTAATAATTCATAGGTCATTGAGCAATCATATATCATATCATTTGTCCAAGGAATGTCTAATATATAGCTTTATGTCCCGTTACTGATGTCAAAACTTACAGAATTTAGAATAGATTTAATTATTTTGGCACTTCAGCAATCCTTAGAAACATTAACTACAACTCTTTGTGTAGCCTTCTTCCCAGATTTCGTTCCAATAATTTGAAAATAATGAACTCCTACATGAGCTGGGTTAATTGAATAAATGATAAACTCTCCAGTTTATTTATTTAATACTGTTGAACTTGTGCTATCGCAATTATCTTATGTTATCTAAACGACACAAGAGTATTGAGAAACTATACCACAGTCAGGTTCCAGCAATAATTTAATATAGTTTGACATCTAAATAAGTTACGAATCAAATACGACGTAATTCATTATAATATCGCTTGATGCTTGTATTTCATCATATTAGCAATTTAGTTGAAAATTAACTTTAAACTCAAATATCAGAAAAACACTTGGGTAATCTTGAAGTTAATTTTAAACTTTTAATATATATGGAGTAGATTAAAGTTTAGCTTTATCT